TTCCAGGTTGAGTTACCCGGCACCTCCCCCACTCTGAAACGGTGTTTATTGGCGCAAGTAGTACTTGCACAGCAGGTCTATTGATGCGGAAAGCGGGCGGCAGCAACCGACACAGGAAACACAACGCTCGGGGGAACAGCTCGCGCTCGGCTCCTCTTGCTAAAGGCGTGACCCACTGCGGCACATATTCTTCTTCCTCTCTACTCTAGATGCATTGTAAAAGCAACAAAACAAGTAACGAAAGTAGATACACATGATTCGAACATTCAAAAAATGATTGAGGCAAAGGAGAACATAATGTTTGAAAGCATTCAATGAGGGTGAAGTTTTAGTCTCCAGAGGCAAAGTGTTCCATGGCTCGATTGCGGAGAAGCTCACTGTTTTCAGTCCGTAATTTGTGCGCGCCTTGGGCAGTAAGATAATATTGCTTTGAAGGGAGGAGCTTGTATTGCTAGAGGAAGTTGTAATTCATTACCGATACATAAATTTATTACCTACGATATACAAAAGATTCGGATTACGTACCAAGCGGTTGGCAATTACAGCTAAGTTAAAGACGATCATATTTGAAATAGGAAGAATATTAAGTGAAGAGAATAGTAGAGCTGAATGAGCATGATAATCGCTGTGTGTTATTATGCGGAGAACCTGTTTATGAATGTGCGCTGATGGGGTTAAGTACTTTTTGTATGCAAGTCTGCAAGACTCAAAGGAGTAGTGTAAATGGCTATGAAGGAAGGCAAAATAGAGCACGAATACCACGGGTGGTCTTCCTTTTTATTAGATCAATATGTTGATTTGGTTCAACACCAAGCAATGGGCATTTTTCAGATGGAAATATTTCATAGTTCAGAGCTTAAAAGCATTTTTTTAATCTGTTCAGTTACGCAAAGCACAAAAGCATAGCGTAGTGCTGATTAACATGCACCGCCGCTGCCGTACGATCAAGTGGCGCCAGCTAGGGAGGATAAGCAACAACTGACGAACACAAAATATATGTCCTCCAAGGTTCAGGGAGCGCCCCTTTAAGCCTACAGCATTGATTATTTCAGTATGGTTTTTAGGAATGGTGCCGAATCCATGCAAATACTTTGCTGTCGAAGCTCAAGGACATGAATTTAAAGCAAATAAAAGGACTAGTTCATAGCTAATGAGCTATAGAGCGCATGACGGTCACTTGATAGATTTCAGGTGGACGGCGGCCGCTTTTGGCAGTGCGGCGTGTCCACCAGCTTCTCTATAGCGTACGGTTGCTAGTGGCGTTGAGAAACAAATTGGCTACTCTGCTACCTAAAGGTAGCATATACAGTGACTCTACAAAAACCTAAAGCCCCTGAATAATAAAACAAATTAATGACATCTCTTGTTATCTTCTCCTGTCCTCCTCTCCTGTGCGTTCCCTCAACGCTCAGTGCACCCATTGCGTAGGTAGAGCCACGGTCGAAAGAAGAGAGGGTGAACGCTGGCGCAGAAGGAGAAGAGAAGAGTTGGCATTACTTTCTTTTTCTTTTTTTATTCAGGGACTTTATAAAAACTAGCTGTTCGCGCGCTATACACAGGCGTGGCCACGGCTGTACAGTCAGTGAGAAATTGTATGTAGGATGGGGAGATTAGGCTATGCGTACTCCTATATTTACTCGCCTAAATTGTGTGTCCCTATGATGTCACTGTTGTTCTTTTTTTTTAACTGCAATACTTTAATATCATGTTTTCCACTCCCTATTCTACTCTGCAGCAAGCTTCCACAAGGCAGGCTTGAGGAGATTGGCAGGATCAGTCACAATGTCACACGCTTGCAAAATCACACGCCACATATACGCATATACGCACGCAAAGTTAAGCATGAACTCTTTTGTTTGGAATTGTGGTCTAGTAGAACAACTAAGCCTTGTTAACAATACCTGCATGCATCTGCATTATTACTAACGGTTTAAACATAGTAGTTACAAGGAATCCTTGATCCAGTCTCACTAGAGTACGACCGTTAGTGCATACCACGATCTATTGTACCCGTCAGCTGGTGGTTTGGTTGATGCCACAGTGGGCTGTGCAATGTACTAACCGCCACCTTCTCAGTAAAAGCAGATGCCAGTTGACCAGCTATTCTGACATCGGCACGAGTGTAAATAATTAGTAAAGAGATAGGCATTGCCAATACACATTCGCATTATGGTGGCTACCCAACAAACATGCTTGTAGCATACAATTTATCACCAACAGCCCTATCAGGATGAGCAACTTTATTTACTCAGCAGCGCATGGGGAATCGTGCCGGTATGAGGGTACTGCTCACTTTCAATAGATGGTGGCTCAAAGAGACTGCGCCACCATACGCTGCGTCCTGCTCGTGCTTCAAATGCATGTCACTTGCAGAAACTAGTTACTCCTGTCATTATGATGAGCAGAGAATTCATGCTCTGCGCCGTTCCCATACACGGCCAGGAGCAGCATAGGGAGAAAGTAACTTCAATACACGGGCATTACCATGGCAAATTTCCATGTTGATTACAGCAAACTCTCTAAGCTCGGTAGGGAGCATGGTGCACATAAATATTTGTTGGAATGATCGGCTCCACATGCAGGCAGCAGCTACTGCGTTTCACTGAAGCAGTACTGGTTTTTGCTGACATAGCAGATTGCAGTTCTATCACCTCTATTTGTACGAAATAGCTGCTCTATACTTCGTCTCATGGTGTCTACGTAAGTATGCCGCACATTCCTGGTGGGTATGCAGCAGTGAGGTTTTCTTATAGTGCTTAGCAGTCTGCGTTGGGGTTTATCAATGTGCTGCGGAGTTTAGTGCTGCCAGTTTATCAGTGTGTCAGCTTATTAGCGCTTATCATCTGCAATTGTCACTCCGCCCTTTTTATTTATTTATTTTCATATTACTTAACTCATATACAGTTGTATCCATTTACAAGAAATATGCATTGGCGAGGAGTTCTTGTCTTTATATAAGGTGTCTGTTTTAACCAGGGCACCACGTAGCATACCTGCCAAGTTTTACGATTTTATCGTAAAGGGCCCGATTTTCAGCACATTTTTACGATTATCGTAACAGCAACTATATTTTTACCATTTTTATTTTTTCTGTCGAAAAACTAAAAAACTAAATCTTGCATCAAACAGTCAGCTGCACCAGCTAAATTTAGTATTTTTTCATAAGGCCATGTAGGCAACACTGTACTGGCTCGTATCTATTTAGAGTCAAAGCCAAAGGGCGTCTACTTCGCGGATGGGGGAAACGTGCTCGACTTGCTTTGTTATCTTTTGCGCTGTGGGACATGCGTTGCACATATTTTTTATGCTGTAGCGTAAGCTCACGAGATGTCTGAAAAGAAATACTTTTAAGAGTTTATTCCCAGCTATTCGACTGACTTTCCATTTATTAAGAGCTCGCGTAAATGTGAGCGATACACATTTTGTAGTTTGTGCTGCTGTGACATGAACATTTCGCACACTGGTTGCCGGGATATTATACTATATTTGAGTATGAAGGAACACAAGGACTCGGTGAAACTTGTGCATTCTAACGAGAAACTTGGAAGGTACTTCAGCCAAGTGGATCTTGTCTAGAGCGGAGTGCCTTTTTACTGTGTTTCTGATCGAACACAACGTGCCGTTCACAGCTGCTGATCATGCTGGAGACCTCTTTCGTAAAATGTTTCCAGACTCAAAGGAAACTAACCGCCGTATTCACAAACGCTCCTCAACTCGACTTTCACCCTTCACTTGACAGAGTTGAGCACTGCGCCACAGCTTGGCTCAAAATGAGACTGCGCTAGTCAAGAATCGCAGCAGATTATCGCTGATATGCAGTGACTTTGTCGTGCCTAGGGACAGCGCTCCCATCGACTTTCTCAAGTGAAAGTGAAGCATTGAGTGAAGGGACATTCTAGAATACGGGGGTAAGAACTACGCCTGCGCCTGTACGAAGAGCTACGATAATTGTGAAGGAAATGGTCAACAAAGCTATTAACGAAGGCATAAGTCACCTACAGCACGCTCCGTTCTCGGTCGCCACTGATGGGAGCAATGATTCTGGCAACGATGCAAAAGTGTATCCAATCATGGTGACATTCTGTGATAGTACTGCTCGCACTGCCTTGCTCGAGATGCTTGCCGTCTGTGACATTACGGGACGAAACATCATTGCGCTTGTTGAGGACATGCTAACAAGCAAAAATATACCGCTCAAGAACTGCATCAGCATGGCGTGTGATAATTCGCCAGTCATGATTGTATTGAAAAATGGAGTGGCAGCTTCCAGGACTTGATAACGCTTTGTGCCTTTTTTCAAACGTTTCTTTTCTTATTTTTTATATTTCTTTAAGGTGAGATGATCCCTGGAAATAAAACAGCGTTTTAGTATTTTTATACGCAGCTTTAGTATTTTGCCGTCTCCTGTAGTACTTTGAGAACTGTGGGGTTGGCAGGTCTGACATAGGCATTTTCTTATCAGCACCTCTGTTTCATTGTAGGCACTGCGGTGTTTCTTATATCGATTGCCTCATACATTAGGGGCTCTTATGAAGAGGTTCAACCGTAATGCCGTCATTATAGCTACAACTGATACCAGAGCTGCAAGAAAGGTAATTATGATGTTACCACTCACTGCAAATGGTGCAGAACCTTGAATTTTCAGAACCTGAATGGCTCCCTGGTATAATCACTGAGATAAGGCAGCGCTGGAACTCTTGGCAGTCATGGTTTTCAGTTTTACACCGTATCTGCTAACTACACTGTTCATGTACCATCTTACTTGGGTTCTATTTTTAAATTATTTCACCCTTGCGACTTTCCCACGATTATGTTAGTAGTGCTTATCTACAATCACATCTGCTAAATTGTACTTGTGTTGAAGCTTTTATGGTGTCGAATTCTTGATAGTAGTTTTGCTTCAGAATGCATTTTAATTTTTTTTTTGCTCTACATAAGAAAGATCCACATGAAATTCGCCACGTGAACATTGATGCCACAGAGCCTTCTTTTGTGCCCAGGCTATCGGCTATAGCCGGCTGCCGCAAGCCAAGCCAGAGGATGGCCTGCTAGCACTACTGTTTGAGAAGAAGCTGGAAGATGTGCAACCAATGCAGGCGCAGCTGGTGGAGGGCCTTCAGCGCGCATTGGGCAACAAACCAAACGTCGCTGTCTGTGTTGAAGGTCTCAAGAGCCTCGAGGCCAACAGGTGTGTGGTTTCTCGCTGTTGTCCAGCACTTTCAACTGGACCCTGCAACGCGTCCCTAGCTACTTGCTCTGTCGAAGGCCTCAGAAGGTCACTCAAAGTCAGCTCGGTAATCTTTTCAAACTTTTTATGTATCTTAATAATTAAAACCTGAAGGTTTCATCTAACAGAAGTTTGGTTTGCTAAGCAAGTATTTGGCATCGTAGCAAGCGGATAAAAAACTTTGATGTACATCACTGGTCATTTTCATCTTCACTTGCTCTCTGGATGACAAAAGCTTCCCCTAGTAGTAAGGATCACGTTTTTATATTATAGAGAAAGGTAATTTATTAATGCATCTTTGCTATCTCTTTAGGTGGAAACTTTTCATATTAATAACCTCCCTCTTCAATTGTATCACACGCTCATGTTGTTCTCATCAGTCCTGTAAAGGGAGTCAATATTTGGTGGCCTCGTGGGAACGCATTGCTCATGCTGTAATGTTTTGTTTTCCTCGCTATATTAAGTTTTTGCTTTGGCAGTACACTATGGCAGCACTACCAACCGTTATGGTTAACAGGTTGTACTATGCTTGAGTCTTCCTGATCCACAAAGAAAATTGAATGGCCTTTTTGACCTGAACGTGAAGGAACACCATTGCCTCCTATTGGCCAATCTACTAATGAAAGGCTGGACACTGGGAATAGCGTCTTTACTTTAGCATGGTGTGAAGCAGTGCTGAATGTTGGGCGTGGTTTGTGATCAAGTTTTCTGCCAATGAGCACCCGAGACTTATACGTGTGTTACTTGACATTTTGCAGGTGCGAGCTGGTTGTGTACGTAATGGAGCGCGCTCCAACGGGACAAACACGACGGTTTCCCTCGAACGAAGTGGTGTCTTACCTGGAACAGGCAACCGTGAAGCCCCAGTTGACCAACATGGGAGTGCACTCAGTAATCTCCAAGGCAGCAGCCACCAAGGACTGGCTAAAGGCCTACCTTAGCAGCCCGCCCTGTGGTGAGAAAATGTCTCTCGAAGGAAGGAGTTATAGCCAGCTCAAAGTTTGGCTCGCGCGTTTTATCAAACTGCAAACAGGTTTGCCAAGTACTGCTTTTAAAGCGAGGTCATTTTCTTTTCTTTGGTCTTTCGTCCACGAAGTTTAGGAACAGTAGTAAAAACTAGAGCTGCGTGAATCGCAAATTTTCGGTTGCGAGGTGAATTCGAATAATAAAATTTGAGTGTAAATAGAATAATTCTCAAAAAAATTTTTAATATTTTTCAAGTACGTACTTCGAAGCATAGGCTTGTAGACAATGGGGAAGCCGTCCCTTCTGATTACCTGGGCGGGGGGGTCAAAAGACTGCCCCATACGTTTGCTCAGTCATGGCAGTGCAGGCTTCTGACGATAACAGCAGTCAAAGGCCTTTAACATGGCATTCCAGGAACTGTTTACACTCAAACCTCGTTACAAAAAAATTGCATCTTACAGGGAAATGAGTTCATTGTATCCAAAAATTCGTTACAAATGTATATTCTGAACACTGTCTACAGCAAGACTATTCTTTATTTACTTTGTTATAACCAATATTTCGTTATATTTGGGCTTGTTATATTCATGTTTCAGTCTACTTTCCATCTTTAATTTAAAAATTTCAGAAGCCGAGGGCAGACCTTTGTAAAAAGCGTGTCACCGAGCTTTCTTTTTAGTTTATTGGGAAGCATGTTACCCTTTGTACCCCAAGGACCGAGGGAGTGTGAGGGGCTTTGATGATACTTTGCTCTCATGCCCTCCTGATTGGCAACCCTGCGAACAGCTGTGCTTTGAAGCAAAATTACATTTAAAAAGTTACAGGGACTTCCTAAACATACTTTAATGTATTCTTTAAAAAATTATAGCTCTGCAAAGGTACAACAGGGTGCTGTCATTTTAGTCTCTTCAGAAAGAGTATCCCTCCGTTGTCAAATTTCTCATTTAGCTAGGTTCTGCATACAAAAATGCACGCATAAAAAAAACAAAACTTTAAAGTTTGTTCCAGGGCATCTTAGTGCCCACCATGTTGCTCCAGCACGCCTCATTCAATGCTCACTCCAGTCAGTGTCATCTGCTGCTTGTGCGTCACAAGGTCACAGCCGTCTACAATCGCACTACTTAGTGACATGTTTGCGCTCACTCTGTATTTACGAGTTGACGTCGATTATCACTTCATAGTATTCTCTAACTTTGGTTTAGTGTGGCAACTGCGTGTGGGCCCTCAGCTTATGATTATGCTCAATCCTCCAATTATGATAACGCACAGCACTTATCGCGGACTTTGCAAACGCGGCTTGGACAGACAGGTGGGTAGAGGTTTTGCTCATCGGCACTTCGTACCTCATGACGAAGACCATTGCGGGGCGTCTCTTTGTAGTCGCAATTGAGCATGGGGCACTGTAAAACATAGGGCACTGCGGCCAAGGACACAGCGACCAAGTTTACCTCTTGGAGTCCTGGCTTGGCCTAACTCCATGATCGCCTATCTATGGGATGATCCCGAACTTTGCCACCAAGAACATCTCACTAGCGGACATGCAAAAGCCCAATATGCCACAGTGTAAGCACCTCACCATTCGTCTCAAATGTCGCAGCTGTGTCTGCATCGCTGAACATGAGCTATGCGATTTCTGAAGTAATTGTGCACCGATGTGAACTGCGACAATGGTACGGGTGAATCAAATAGGCCGTACAAATGGAGCAAACAAATGGAGGCAAATGTATCATCACTTACGAGAAGCCATCTATACTGCACTCGCGGACAACTTTTTTTGGCAACAAAGAGAAAGCTACAGGGGTGGAACACGCGAAATAGTTCGGTACGATTCGCACTGCTATAGACAGTGACGGCTATGCACAATCGGCATTTCATGCCAACCCAAATGCCACTTGGCAATCGAGGTACGTGTAAAGGCGCAACTTTCTGTCGCTTGCAAAAACACACTGTGTAAGTAAAAACAAATACAAATATCTCATTGGTGTGAGCTGAGTCCTCGCTCAAAGACCAAGAAAATAAAGGAGTATTTTTAATATCTTACTAAACAAAAAATGGACACGACTGTGGGTCTGTATCTGTAGCCTTTGCTTCATTGCCAAGAAAAGTTGTCCTCAAGTTAAGGGGTTGTGTCTAATAAGGTAAGCCCTCTTTTCATTAATCTTATGACACTGTTTCACATTCTTGTGGGCATGCTTTTCCCCCTTGTTTTTCTTCACAAAGGCATAGATTCATTGCTGTGGGAGCAGGCCAAGCTGGACAACCCAGACCCGGAGCGACTCATCCCCGTGCCAATGATTGGCTTTGCTGAGCTCCGCCGTCGCTTCAAGCTTCAGGAGCACGAGATCAAGCAACACCAGTGTCGGCTAGACGTGAGTGGGCCCACTTTGCCTTAATTGTAAACAGTTCTGAACAGAGCTTTTGTTACGTTTGACTGTGTGTTCTGGCTAAAGATCTTTAAAACAAATATTACGAGAGTGAAAGCTTCTGCATCTCCTTAACAACACAGAAGTGCTGTGCTTGCCTCTACTTCAGCCTTGGAATAGACCTGGGTCTACTGCAGCCCACTTACACCTCGAATCCTTTGTACTTCTGAATGAAATACTTGGCTAATCAAAAAGTAAGAGTCTGTGAAGGTACTACTGGCTTTGCTAAAAGTGCTGGTAATAGGACTCCCAATGAAATTAGAAAAAAAATATTACAAAAAAAGCCAGTTATGAGAAGGTACACATTGAGCAGGAGATGCAGGGTATAGTTAGCCATCTTTAAGTGAGCAGACTGGTCTTTGGGACCAAAAAGTGACAAAAAAATTTATTTTTTAAAGTTGACATGTTTGGTTTCTGCAAGTATTTTCTATCTCTCTGCAAATTTTTACACACCAGGAAGTGGTAATTTTTTGTGATGTCATTCTAACTGTCCAGATTCTTGGTGCTGTTAACATGCAGAACCTGAAAAAAATGGAGAACCGTTTTCGAGGCTTCTTTATTTTCCTGACACTTGTGTTAGAAGCTCTGCTACAAATTTATGAGCACCTTTATGGGCATTGCAACACATGCGTGCCATGATTGTTGCTTCTGAAGAAGCTCTGTGTTTTCAGTTTTTTTTTTTTTTCATTTTTCTCAAAAAAGTAAATTTACAACAATCCAATTTAGAGGCCTCAATATCTTTGCAGCTGGGGCTGGTACAACAATAATTCTTTTTGCAATGGAAACCTGTATGTGTGTAGAATGCAAGTATGGGAGCAGAATTTAGAGCCCGAGCTTTTTTTAATTATTTACTCATTAAAATTGTAACACAATTTCATCTGCTTTTGAAAAAGGATAGTTCATTTTGGTGTAAAATAATCAAGAAAGGCCTAAAATAAAAAACTTGCATACTTTCAATCTATAGTCACTAGTCTCTGTTGGCATATCTTAAATATCACTTTTAATTAAGCACTTTTTTTCTATGGGGTCCTTAAACAATAGGGGGTGAATTTAAGTTACCTGGGGAACAAGATGAGTTACAGGAAAACTAATTAAATATTTGAATTCAGTAGAAAAAACTGTATAATCCTGTGCAGTTTGATCAAGATCACTGAAGAAATAAACAAAAAAGTGCCTAAGACCAGTTTGCCCCCTTAAAAACACTGCAGGCGACATTGATTTTTCTTTATAAAATAAATTGCAAATTGTCCTTCCAAAATGCCAAGTGTGCCACTTGTGCTGTGAGAAGACCACTTTGTTAGCAAAGCAGACAAGTAAATACATATAATTTGTTACACTAAGAACAATTATTCAAAATCACTGACCTGTTCAATGGCATTGCAGTTTAATGAATGAATCAGTGAATGAATAATATTTGAAAGGCTGCGTGCAGAGATGTCCTTTTTTGATGTTCCCTTTACTTTTTCATCTTTTCATTCGTAAAGGCAATTGCTGAGGATATCTCTAAGCTCCAAATTCAGCACTCCAATATGATAGCGAAAATCGAAGAGCACAAGAGGAAGCAACAGAATCTGTACCACAGGATACTCAAGGTAAGTAGGAAGTGAAGCAACAGCCCAGGGGTCTATAGTGCTCACAGTAGGTGTACATTATTTTCACTCATACTTATCTCAGTAGCAGATAGTAGTATAAGAATCTGTGACTAATGCAGCACATACTGCATAACACTTGGTTTAACCATAGCCTCCTTTATTTTCTGTGCCTGCGCTTTGCCGCCGGGATCAAAGGGAGCCGACCGTCAGGCCGAGTTCCCGCAATCACCACCAGGCGGCGCTGCCTTCCCAGAAACGGCAGAGCCTGTTCACTGACTCCGGTGCTACCACCGGCACTGACGGGTGGGTCCTTCGTTGCGCGTTTGTAAGCGCGGCAAGCTTAAAAAACAAAAGTGTGATACCACTCCCGTGTGCCACTTAAATATTTAGGAGAGAACATATGCAAGAGAGAAAGAATAAGTACGCAAGATAGCACATTGAACAGAACACCATACCTTCAAGGAAACGGTTAGAGAAACTTGTTTATTGCGTATTAATTCATTCGCAACCTGCGGAAACGAACAAGAGGGCGTCGATCGAAACGTTCCTCACACGCACACAGTCTGACGAGCTTTAGTACCCTCGTTGACACTGTTCACAAGCAGCAATCACAATTTTAGCAATCACAATTTTTTTTTTCTGATCGCCGCGTCACTTCTCGGGGCTTTCGTCGAAGGCTGCAAGTAGCGCGGATATTCTTCGAATACGCTAGGCACCACACCTTTCATAAGCCTTCGTGTTTTACATCCTTGCTTAAAATCAGAAGCAGCGAAATGACGACTGCACACGGTTGAGTAGCAGGAAGTGGTGCTCGGCGTCCAATTGTCTCGTGAAATGACTTTTATCCACTTTTGCCGCAACTCCTCGTCGCTTGGAATTTCGTGGAATGAAATTCCTACTTCCTTCTTTTTGCTTGAAGACTTGCAACCGGGCACGCAACAGTACGCCATCGCACCTGACGCGGGTCATCACAGCCGAATGAACCACGGAGACTTGTGTGCGTAGGCCGCTGCACGAGACAGAAACGAGAGAAACCGTAAAATAACATTCCTGATTACTTAGCGAAATTCGCTGATAGGTGCGCGGAAAAGCCTCACGAGAAAGAAGCGCGAAAAATGATAGCCGCGCTTGACAACGGCCGTGCAAACGCGGGGTACAAACGACGTTGTTTGTTTATACGCACTCAGTTAATGCCGCGTGTCATCTGCTCACGCAACACAATGAAGCAACAGTTACAATTATACTTGCTGAAAAGTACTACGTACCGTTTTGGTCGTAAATAATTGGTGTTGCAAACGTATGCGACACGAACAAAGGTTTCCTGGAGATGCGTCGCCGAGGCTGAATGCGCCGACTCGATTCTGGGATGCGAGCGCCCCTGGCGGACAGCAGACGCAAAAAGAGAGGAGGATGCGGGAGGCGGCCGAACGGGCCCGGCGAACTGACTGCGCGGGCACAGAAAATAAAGGAGGCTATGGTTTAACATTTCACAAGATGTAGGTTGAACACAAATGTTAATAACAGTCAAATGTGTTTATGACCAATGCTGCCGATTGGTAGTCTAAGCTCCTGTGAACGTGTGAGCAAATGATTATAACACTGCATGCGACAAGAAATTTACAGTTACATTTCATAAACACTTAGAAAATTGCTCACTTATCTCTTGGAAAGTTACTTAAGAGACAGGCCTGACTGTCATATGTGGGAGGGCTTTACCCTTGGCTCACTCGAGCATTATTGTGCTGCCTAGTTTATGAGGCTATCAGAAACAGCGGTCACATATTTCTGTCACACTCTTTTTGGTAGAATGGCATGCAATAGAATCACGTTAGCACACTCATGGTCATGCAAATGCGTTCAAGGAAAAACTAACGAAAAAAGAGAAGTGCTCAAGGTGATGACACACTCTCACGACCCTTCTTGTCCCTTTTGTATTCCCTCTTGTGAAGCTTTTAGCTTGCTTGTTAGGATGAAAAGAGTGAGAAAGTATTTGAATGTGTGAAAAATCCCTGTAACCGCTTGTACTACACAGGATTGAAAAATTTTGGGCCGGTAGATTCGGGAGGTAATAAACTCCAAAACTGAGGCCATTTGATGGTTACTTGGAAAAGTGTTGCAGGCCCTTCGAAGTGAGCACTTTTGTTATTCACAAGGGGACGCTCAAGTTTTCAGCACTAGCTTCTTCACAGGTCATGGTTCACCACGAAGTCAGCCGCAAGATGGGCTTCGCAATACAGCCAGAAGAGGAGCAGCTGCGAACAAAGCTGGAGTCCATCCTGGCTGAACTCAGCGCACCGACACAATTCAGGGTTTGTCTTTTAATTGGCTAATTAGTGCATGCATTACCTTTGCTGTGTATGTGGTGCTCCACAGTGAGCTGGCCCGAGAGCTGTCCTCTTTGTGCATGAGCTCCAGGAGTTGAACTGTGTTCGATAAATAGTAGCAAATGCCAAAGCGAGTGGTGCTAAATATCGCAGAAGGCCAAAAATACTATTTCATCTAAGTCACATATTTCATCGGCAGCATCCTTGAGGAATGTCTTTGTTGATAAGTTTGTGTTGACCATTAGACATTTGATTGAACTTCATTGTGTATTTAAATCATTGTCATATTTTCAAGTACTACTACCCCTATTTAACGTGCCATAGAGCAAGCATTTGCTCTTTAGACCCGTACACAGCTGTGTTACATTTCTCCATGGTATTCATTGCTTCACTGAATACTCATACCGCATAATGTCATGTTCTATTTCATCTTTGACGTTTGCTGTCATAGGGCAAAAAAGCCACTGGTGAAAAGTGAAAGCAGTGGCACACTCTGAGACAAAATTGATTCAAATTTATTCAATGGGGGAAAGCATGGAAGAGTCCAAGACTGTTAACCTGCTGTTCTTTCTTATTTTTTTTTTGCATGGAAATGCACACAAAACACAAAAATGTCACTAGTGCATCATGGTTGGATGAAATTTCATAAGGATTCACTGCAAGCATTGCTACTTCTGTTCACTTTTTTGGTAACCTCGTGTTTCACAAAGAGTGATGCAAGTACCAGCAATTTCGGTTGTAATGTGGAGTGAAGTGAATGTATGGCTTTTTAATGTGTTGAATTTTAGCGGTTCATTAGAGGTTATGATCATTTACGTTAGCTTAGCAGCATTATAATTTACTGAATGTGCATATCAATCAAATTGGTCAACACATTACTACAGTGATGGCTCAATGATGGTTTACGGTGCTCAGCTGCTGATCTTAAAAGATGTTAGTTTGATAACGGGTGCAGCTGCTGCATTTCAATTCAGGCAAAGTGCTAAAGGACTGTGTATGTGCAGTTTCGGTGCAAGGGCCTCAGATGGCTTATTGAGGCCACCAACTAACCAACCAATGCCAATGTGCTGGATAATAGTGCATGTCTATTTGTGGATCTTTTTCCTTAATATTTTAATGGGAAGTACAATGTATCGCAGAGTAATACAAGCTCCTCTGAATGGCGATCCTTTGCAGGGCCGCCTGAATGAGTTGATGTCGCAGATCAAGCTGCAGAACAACCAGATGACATTCACTGACACGACGATACACTGCAGCCTTGATCCCAATTCGCTGAGTCAGCTCAAAGAGGTAACATTTTATTCTAAATGCATATCTGATTCATGTCTTAGTGCACATCATGCATGTATGATTCACATTTATGTTGGTTGTTTGTCTTGGCCCTCTATTTATAAAGTGATGAGCAGCTACTACTTGAGTGACAAAAAACGAGCTTTTCTGTTTGTGTTGGATTTTATTATAGAAGGTGTATTGTTGTGTGTGTCAGTGCTAAAATTAAGTAGTGGAATGAAGTAGTAAATTAATCTTTTTTACAGTTTTTCTTCAAGGCAGCATTGTGTGGTATAGGAAACAGGTTTACGACCCATAGACCTAAATAAAAGTAAAATGAAAAGGAAATTAACCAGAACATCATTTATGGAGTGTACCAGCCCAGTGCATTATCTGCTCTTAAGAATGATATCCAAAACTTGTGGCTAAGTGGTGCTCGTCATTGGCAGTGTTTGCTAAAAAATTGTAAATGAGTAAAGCTCATAGGCAAAATTTAATGGCTCACCCCTTATTAACCGTTTTGAACTAGCACAGCTAATGCTTACCAAGCTGTGCACGGAACGTTTGAAGCTTCAGATGATATCTTCCTATGAGTGTTTTGAAGTGACTCGCTTGCTTTCAAGCTAGTACATGTGTTTCTTCACAGATGAGAGCATTTGCTTGGCAATTTATTCTAACCGTCATTTCACATATCTATTCGCGTCTTGAGTTCAGAAAATATTGTCCAGCGAAGACGAGTGTGTTGCTTGTACGTTGTCGTAGAAAAGGCGCCTTTTGTCATCGTACAGCTCTTCAGGCACTGATTATCTAAATACAAAAGCTTGCTTTGATGACTGCGTATTTTCCAGTTATTTTGGACGATCACATTCTGCGGATATTGAAGAGCACTAGTAGGCATATGACTGTAAACTTCGTTGTGCTAATTTGACTTGATATATGCATATATTTTTTCGTTTATGAAAAGTGTTTTTTAGAAGCAAGATATTTCGCAATTAAGAGTGAAAATTAAACATTTTAGGCAGAAAAATTTTAAAAAATGTTAGCATCTTGGCCTAGTGCTTGTACCCATACCTAAATTGGCTGTATTTCACTTCACGCAAAAAGACAGATTCCTGTGTTGAGCCAGGCTGGCTGAGGCTGTTAGGAATTCTTGAAGTTCTGAATTCTTGACTGGAATTCAGCAGTGAACATGTATAATGGGCCATTGTAATGCTGGGAAGCTTGTTGAACGAGCAACTTGTCCTTATTCTTGGTTAAAAAAAATAGACTGAGAGAGAAGCCTCGGTAGAGCTACGAAGGTTTCCAAACACTACGTTTTCTCTCAGAAAAAGTGACAATGAGAGACCAGAAGCATGGTAGGTGCAAAAAGGTATGCGTCAAATTGGGGAAATTGAAAATAAAGCAAAGAATGAACTCAGGTGGGTTAGAGTGGGGACTACTGATTTACAAGATGTACAAATTGCAATACGGTACAGGATAAGAAAGCTATACTGCTGCTCTGAATGAACTACTATGAACAGAGAGACTGTGGCACAGCGTTTCAAAGCTGTGGCTATCTGTTGTGTATCATAGGTCTAAATCAGCAGTGTCCACAGTGAATGATTGATGCCGTGCAAGGACAATGATTTCAGTATGTGCATATCTGTTTCAGCACCTGCACAATCAGCAGAAGGGCATCTTTGAGTTGGTGAAAATTATCAAGGGCGATCTCGAAGAACTGAAGGAAATGGAAAGCAGTCTCCAAGGGACGGCTGCTCCAAGAAGATAGCACAACGAACGAATAGGGGATAGCCAAGATTCCGAATTTCGAGACACTATCGTGCCGTGTACTGCCACGGGAAAAATAACATCGCAGCCTGTGTATCAGTTGGGCGATGTAATCCTTTCCGTGATATTGTGCTCTGCGGCAAAGCGTCATGCCAGAAAGATTCCCAATACAATTCTGCGATATATCCCCTCTGGGTGTCATGGTTTGCTGTGTAAATTCTGAAGATGAAGCTAATATTTTTTGTAGCAGCAGCAATGTAAATTGTAAAATAAGGTAAAGTGGGCACCTGCTGCCTTGCAGTTGCCAAGCCGGCTGTCGTGCATAATTGTGCAGTAAACATTTTTTCTCTTTTTCTTGTTCGCTGTTGTGTGTCATTAATACACATGTTTGCTTCCACATCTGTATTGCTTTAATCTCTCAGTGGGAAATTTTTACAGCTGCACAAGTGGTGCAACTCTAAACTGACAAACTGGATAATGGAAGCTGCATAGCACGGAGCAGGGGTGTCAATCACAGCCATCGTTGCAATGTGCTATGGGCTGTAAAACAGTGCTCATTGTTGTTACTACTTGTGTGTTTTCTAGCATGTCATTACTGAATAATGTTGCCTTGAAAATTGCCAGGTGTCCTTGTGTTGGTGACACACAAACTTGAAAGCTGCCCAGATGTAAGATTCTGCACAACATTATTTCATGCAATGAGTTGAGGTTGAGAGCAAATTCTGGTGATGTTCAGAATGCCTAGAATAATTTTTAACAGCTTTTGTTTGAAGTGGGTTTTAAGCCGAAGGTGATCTTTTGAATAATTTTGCATTCAGTGGTTCAAATAGTATGTATCGCATATAGAGAAAAGTGAAAATTCTTGTCAGGGCTCACCCAACTTACACACTGTTTTTACAACTGAAAAGGCATCTGCAAATTTCACTTTTAAGAAGAGCATCTTGAGCTTTACAGAAACTCTGTGGGCTGTGTACAAAAATTACCATCATGAACAGGTATGTGCCCTCCCTATGCTCTCTTTCATCACTCCCAGAACATGTGCGCTTATTAACTTGATAATGTTAAAGAGCTAATTTTGCAGAAATACTGCCGTTGTACATTGTGATTGAAAAATCGAGAATGAGGCAAATAAAAGGAATGATAAAGAAACCTTGGAGCAGAGTGGGGACCGAATCAGGGTTGTTGGGGTCCGATTGGGGATCAAACCCGGGTCGTTTGTGTGGCAAGTGGATGTTCTACCACACGGCCATGCATCTGCTTGTGAATACAGTGAAAAAAACATCCTCTGCTTGGAATATCAGTGAAAGTACCTTTCATGCTTTACAGAGACACGGGTCCTGTATACATGCTGTACAGTGCAACATAAAATGTTGCAGTAATAATGCCTGGTACAAGCACCCATTTTCAATGGGCGTCAGGTCATGGGATTATCATAATAAGTTCGTGGTTTAAAGCCGGTCACCCACTATAAATTATCGTCATCAAACGCCGGAAGAAGAAAAAAGAAGACTGCTGCCTGGAGGGAGCGCGTGCTACTTCGCTTTTTCTAATAAACCCTATTCGTTCGAAGCAGTCCCTGGTCTCGATCGTCTTAATACCCACTACAAAAGGCACACGCGCTATTGCATACATTCCCTTAAAGCAACATAGCAGGTGCATAGAAAGTTCGAAAAGATTTCATGCACTAAGTGTGTGAAATATGCACTAGGGACAAGATATCGCTATTGCATTCAACTATTATAGGCAAAGCTTAAGGGTCATATGCTTAGCTCATCTAAGCCTGCGTAATCAGGTTTTGAAGAGCGATAAAAATAATGCAGCCTTGCTCTAGTGGTGCTAAGCCTGAAAGAAGCGTGGAGCTGGCCAGCCTTCTTTGTTTTGCTTTTTTCTGTTTTCCAGTTTCATTCTGCGTTTTTCTCAATTTACATAGCAGTAACGTCCACACTTTATAAAACATCAAGGCACTCGAAGAACAAGAGTAAGAACTCAGCTCGGCACAAGCTTGCACTCAGTATGCAACAGATGGCTCTGCTAAAATGTGATCTCGAAGACGTTTCGCTAAGCGCAGACTGCAGGATATGACGGCCTGGTCCCTTAAGTGCTCTGCATTTAACTTTTGTTTGGTAGCCGGCCAGTTAGTGGGCTTAGGTGGCAGTGAAGAGCCCTTGGAATCTGGCGGCATCTTCGTCCTGCTGCACAGCCATGAGCTCGCCCTTAGGTACTGCACTGAGCAACACGGTCTACCACTGCCTCTCGTAGGAGACAAAGTTACATAGACAGATGAGATTAGAAAGCTTGCAGGTATAAAGTGGCAGCAGCAAGCACAGGACCGAATTGATGGGCTGAACATGAGAGAGGTCTTTGTCCTGCAGCGGGCTTAGTCAGGCTGATGATGAAAGTGCACTTAGTGGGCATTTACAACCGAAAGATGATTGAGGGGAAGATAACGCGTACATCTTACCTTGAATCGTAGCTTCGCATCAGTGTGGATTTTTGGTAGATGCCTAGTTGGTTTGTCAGCAATCCCACGCTGTTGTGAAACCACCTTTACGGGTTGGTTATAAATGCGGTCATGCGTTTATTCGTTCATTTCAAATCATTTTAATTCGTGTACAAGTAAATTCGAACACTGTAGTATTATTTGGAATATTCGAAGTGCTTGAATATTTATAATTTAATGTGCAAGACCTAGCAAAAGTTGAGAGACTAAAACACACGAGTGAAAAAAAAGCCTCCGCCTCCCCGAAGGGAATTGTGAGGAAATGCGAATGCATTTCTCGCGCTGAGAGAGGGTACCATTGCCGTCAGACATCCGCCTTCACCGACTTCTGCCATCGCCTTGAGAGGCACCCAGCCAGTGAACGGTCGAGAGTGAGGAGCGAGCGGACGAAAGAGTGGGGCGCCAGCATTTTCGGCTCTTCGTTTGTATGGAGCCTACATAACCACTTTTTTGGTCACGTAGGCTCCTTAGGCGCTTGCGTTTCACAGCGAAGTCTCGAGCACACATTTTTGTATGTTCTTGAGATGCGCCCAGCCAGCCAGTGGTCGAGAGTGAGACGCTAGCCGACGGGAAAGTGGGGCACAGGGAGAAGAGAGAGTGAATGGGGAGAGAAGGCGCGGCGAAGCACTGCACCTACCCTCTCCTACACTCTGGCACCACACGCTCCGGTGACTAGGGGCGAGGATAAGTGCGTGCGCCCACAGGTGCTACTATGGGAGAGGGAATGAGAGCGGAGAGATAACACCTGCCAGTGCGCGGAAAACGCCAGATGCCTGACATAGTCCAACTAAAGAAGGCATTCGCATTTAAAAGAACGTTCGCCAGTTGCACACCACGTGAAAGCTGTACGAGCTGTGATTCGCCTGTGTTCATCTTGTGCTTATCTCGAGTTTCTTGTTCGTTTCTTCAGATTATATGGTTTATTATGTGATATCTGTGTTCTGTTCTGTGGTCTTCTTTCCACCGTTTTGGCTGCTCCGAACGCTTTGTGTCTGCACCGGGCGCTGGCGTTTCGTTGGCTCGGACAGGCTAATTGGCGCTTCGACGACGCTGGTGTTCGCGAGGAAGTGCTCCGAGCGTGCAGCCTGTTCGGATTATGCGCATCAAACTTGGGACCTGCATGTCGCCATTGGGAGACGTGAGACGATGATACAGCGGCAGTTCGAAAGAAACCGCCAGGCCTGCGCGGAACGCGCAACACAATCGCTGCGAAAGCTGGAAGAGTGACCTTACGGAAACGGCGAAGACTTCAGTGTTAGCCGTTTCTGGTGTGTGGCTGGCAGCCAGATTGCCGGCAGGTATTATCGAAACCGGCTTGATTAGCAGCGAACACCCGATGGCTGGGGGTATTTTTATATGCTAGACATAATTCTAGACAATACCATTTGTTGTTATTCTTATTTTTTATATGAAAGTGCCATGGGAGTCGAGTTCTGTCAGCGTCGTGCACAAAGTGTAGGTCGGGCAGAAGTACCTTGACGCAGCTAAAGTCACATTGAAGTGACTAATTAACCAAAATCAATGCACTGTTTTATTGACTCAGTGAGTTGACACATAAAGCCACTTATGGTATGCGGTTTTGATGACACAGATGTCAAAGCAGGCCGCAGTAAGCTCGGAGAACACTTGTGGTGTTCTTTTAAGCTGCTACCGCGGGGGTGGAGCGGGTTACGGTGCTCGGCTGCTGACCCGAAGTCCCTGGAATTCATCCCAGCCGCGGCGGACGTATTTCAATGAATACGAAATTCCAGAGGTCCCTGTGCGTGGATTTAGGTGTACGTTAAAGATCCCCTTGTGTTCAAAAGTCCCATAGTCCACAATTATGGCATGTGACACAATCATATTGCCGCATTCCTTCCTCGAGTTATCGCCCCGTTCCACTATGTTTAGCGCAAACCGCGCCTACAGTGTTCGAGAAGCGTTGCAGAGGCTGTAGCAGATCGTTTTGTTAGGAGAACGCCCGCGTCGCGAACATTATAGATTATTCTGGAACCTACGCGGCCGCTAGCGATAACGCTAGAATATTCGACAGCGTGAGTATAAATGCCGACGCGTTACACCGCTAGTCAGTTGATCGCCGTCCGACGCTCTGTTCGCTGCTATCAGTGACCGTGTGTTGCTGTAATCTGACATTCAGTTTCCTGGCCACAAGTTCGGCCGAATGAACAGTTCCATCTGAACATCGAGTCTGCTGCCTTCGTTGACGTACGACCCCGCGACAATATCGCGATTTCAACACGTAAGTATACCCCACGTATTTCCGCGACTGTTTGAAAACCCTAATTAGCGCTTCGCTTGTAAAGACGTCCAGACTTGTCTGAATAGCGCGTTTTATCGGGAATACGCGACGTGTCCGGAATTGTTTGCACGCCGGTTTCTCTCAGTAATGCTCAGAATTGAGTGAAGGGAGAGAAAGATTTTATTTGAATTCTTGAGAAATATCGCCTGAGACTGAGAACGTCGAACAGTCATGCGGCAACATCCTGACAACTCACTTCTTCCGTCGTTCGGCACAACGTAATCGACTTCTTGCTTTCTCACCCTTTGTCGTGCACGTCGTCCTTTTATTTCTTGTCCTCCGTTTTTTGCGCAGTTTTTATGCAAATTATGTTGTACCAACTCGCCCAAGCAACCACTTAGTGTCCTTTTATTGTCAGCGCTACCTGACAATATTGCAGCGGACAATATTGCAGCGGCTAGGTTCTGCAGCATCGCGTCCGTAGACAAAAAGTGCGTCGAACAACAATATGCCATGACCCTCGTCGTTGACCTTAAATTCTTTCTCGAAGATCTTTTTTTTTTCTCAGAAAAATTCTTGCTACGCCCCCCCCCCCCCCCCCCCCTCTTCTCCAACGTCCACACCAACAAAATTCTGACGCCCCTGCCTGCTCATGCACGTATACGTCGCCGCAGTGACCGCAGTCGAAGAGCTGTGCCAGAGAGACCAGTTACAAACCGCGCCACAGGATGCGGGGGAGTGCGCATGGACGGACAGAGGGCGCTCCCGTCGACGCGGGCGCCAAACGCGCGGCATCAGCAGCATCGTGAAGACGTTTTTTGGGACTGCTCCGAAATTACTCTTTCATTGAAGCCGTGGGTAAGGCACTAATTAGAAAGTCGTTAATCAAAAAGGGTCTCCTCCTCGTCCGTTCTGAGGGGGGCATAATGCGCAGCTTCGCCGAGAGTTTTGCCGGCCGTCTCTTGCCAAGTTTGGGCCGCTCGTTTATCTCTGTCAGGGCCATTAAATCGTTGATTGATTAATTTGACTGAGCGGCGCGAGGGGAAGGAGGGTGTGTTGGCGAAGACGCGGCGCTCCCGGGACGGGATGCCGCAAGGATTCCTCCATCTTTAATTAGACGGTGTAGAGGAGGACTCTGTGGCGATGACGCTGCCGAACAGAATCTGTCTCCCTCCTTCTCAGTGGACCCACTCACGAACCAACAGAACTAGAGAGAGAGAGTGAAAGGGGAAAAAAAGTTCACGCATACGGCAGCGGTGCTGCTTAGGCGGATTCCATCGCGGGTCGGCCCGATACGTATGCACAGTCAAAGGCTAATAAAAAAAAAAAGCGGGGGAAAAAACTTTAAAAAAAGGCGGGAACACTCTCCTGACCCGGCTGCTGCGCACCGTCCGTCGGCTGTTCCT